GACAAGGTCCCCCATGACCTTCTGGCAAGGAAACTAGTCCAATGTGGGCTAGGCAAAACTACGGTGAGGTGGATCTGTAATTGGTTAAGTGGACGACCCAGAGGGTGCTCACCAATGCTTCCTCTTCATCTTGGAAAGAAGTGACAAGCGGAGTGCTGCAGGGTTCTGTCCTGGTCCTGTTCAACATCTTTCTTAATGACTTAGATGAAGGGCTAGAAGGCAGGATCATCAAGTTTGCAGACGACACCAAATTGGGAGGGATAGCCAATAGTCCAGAGGACAGGAGCAGAATTCAAAACGATCTTGACAGATTAGAGAGATGATTGGCCAAAACTAACAAAATGAAGTTCAACAGTGACAAATGCAAGATACTCCACTTTGGCAGAAATGAAATGCAAAGATACAGAATGGGGGACAATGCCTGGCTCGAGAGCAGTACGTGTGAAAAAGATCTTGGAGTCCTCGTGGACAACAAGTTAAACATGAGCCAACAATGTGATGTGGCGGCAAAAAAAGCCAATGGGATTTTGGCTGCATCAATAGGAGCATAGTGTCTAGATCTAGGGAAGTAATGCTACCCCTCTATTCTACTTTGGTTAGACCACCTGGAATATTGTGTCCAATTCTGGGCACCACAATGCAAGAGAGATATTGACAAGCTGGAATGTGTCCAGAGGAGCGACTAAAATGATCAAGGGTCTGGAGAACAAGCCCTATGAGGAGCGGCTTAAGGAGCTGGGCATGTTTAGCCTGAAGAAGAGAAGGCTGAGAGGAGATATGATCACCATGTATAAATATGTGAGAGGAAGCCACAGGGAGGAGGGAGCAAGCTTGTTTTCTGTTTCCTTGGAGACTAGGACACGGAGCAATGGCTTCAAACTACAAGAGAGGAGATGCCATCTGAACATGAGGAAGAACTTCCTGACTGTGAGAGCCGTTCAGCAGTGGAACTCTGCCCCGGAGTGTGGTGGAGGCTCCTTCTTTGGAAGCTTTTAAACAGAGGCTGGATGGCCATCTGTCAGGGGTGCTTTGAATGCAATATTCCTGCTTCTTGGCAGGGGTTGGACTGGATGGCCCATGAGGTCTCTTCCAACTCTTTGATTCTATGATTCTATGATTCTATGTGGCTCAAAAACTCAAAAGGCTTCTTGGGCAATGTTAATGTGAGCCACACCATTTAGCAGATGCTGCATGTGTTCAGTTGATGACCTCCAAAGAATCTTCACTTACACTGAACAGTCACATGGATGGCTTGGCTGGTTGAACAAAGCTGATTTTTTGCCTGGCACCGATACTCCCCAGCGTCTTCTGGTTTGATCTGAGAAATCACATATTCTCTGCTTTCTACAGGGATAGCATTGTTCCCCTTTATCCAGTTCAGGGTGGGATCTGGTTTACTCTTATCATCACACACCAATGTAACAGTATCACCTTCTCGAGCCACTATGGGACCCGTAGTTCCTTCTTGGTAGGGTATGCCTGCAAGAGAAAGCGATTACAATATTCTTAATATTGTAATAATAGCAGAGTACACTTATGAACCAACCTGGACACAGCATATTATTTGAGAACACAGAAATGCTGGACCACTCTAGCAAGCACCATACCAGACTACACAAAGAAGCTACTGAAATACACCAGCATGTGGGCAATTTCAACAGAAAGGGAAAAAAGCATGAAAATGAACAAAATCCGGCTACCATTATTTTAAAAACTCTAAAATCAGGACAGTAAATAAAGAACAAAAGTCAAAAAACAAGGGAATTACAGACAGGAAACAATCAGGAACAGCTAACACTTCCCAACAAAGGTTTTCCCCAGCCAGTAAGCAGCCAGCCTTTGATGCTGCAAGGCCATTCAATGCTAATCAAGGTGGCTAATTGAAACATTCATACCTGCCTCAATCAGACAAGGGTTCTTTCTCCCACCGTGGACATTCCACAGATATATAAACCTGACTTGCCTAGTTTCCAACAGACCTCACAACCTCTGAGCATGCCTGCCATAAATGTGGGTGAAATATCAGGAGAGAATGGTTCCTGAACATGTACATACAGCCTGGAAAACTCACAGCAACCCAAAATTCTTAATACTTCTGCCATATGAAACCCACTATTCCATTACAGTGACATTATCACTGATACATACCAAGTTCAGTGCCCTGAATTGATGCTTTTCCGAGAATGTGGAATAGCAGACATAGGCAATAACAAACAAAAATTTCAAAACTTACCATGTATGGTCCATGTGATTTGGACATCCCATGGCGGATCTGAAAAAAGAAGAGTAGAAGGGTAAATGTTCCAGATAGATTGCTGGGAAATCCATGAATTAAAAAACAGAGATGAATCTAATAAGGGAACCAAAAATGTGGCAGTTCAAGGGGTGACAAAATCTTCTCTTAAGGCTGGAAAGCTCAGTCAAGGTTGGCATAGTTCTGAAATAGTTTCTCCCAAACAGTAGAATAGCAGAACAGATAGATGAGAAAAGATTCATGTCTTTGAAGCCTTTCAAATTCTGCAATCATAGTGCTATTATTACACCTGAACTGTCATGAAACCACAAATTTGCAGTTCGGAGGGAGGAATTTTGAAATTTTGGCCAGAATGCTTGGGTGGCTCAACAAACAAAAAACTTCAACAGGAGGGAAACATGGTGTGAATTGGGCCCCTTGTTGTAAATGGAAAGCACAAAGATTAGTAAGAACAAGCGTTCCAGATTTCATTTCTGTGCACCTAGCTCGATATGGATGGCTTGATAGCAGCAGAAGGCAACAGTGTTTTTCTGTCTAAAGCTGCATTATCTTGAAGGTGAACTTCCAGGGGGTGGTGCTCACAGTGGGGAAACCTACTCACATTATTTCCCTCCCTCTCTCTATCTCTCTCTATCTCTTTTTTTCTCTACCTTGGTTCCTTCCTTTAAACATAATTCACCACCCCATACCGTTTTCTTTCTCCCATTCTCTCTTGAGATTTTGAAAAATGGTTTGGTGATGATCAAAGGAAGGAAGGCAGGCAGGAAGGTAGGAAGGTGGGCATAGGATTAATATAATCTCAAAATCACCAAATTAAGAAGGCATTTTACACTACACAATTATAGGATAGTAGTTCTGCTTTAATTGCCATGACAACATCCCATGGCATCCTGAGGATTGTCATTTATCAAAAAGCATTTAGGATTCTCAGCCAGAGAGCTCTAGTATCTCACCAAGCTGAAGCTTCTAGCATTCCATAAAATGATTTCAGACCTCTTATAAAGGAATTAGGTAAAAGTAAAGGTTTTCCTCTGACATTAAGTCCAGTCGTATCTGACTCTGGTGGTTAGTGCTTATCTCCATTTCTAAGCTGAAGAGCCAGTGTTGTCCATAGACACCTCCAAGGTCATGTGGCAGGCATGACTGCATGGAGCGCCATTACCTTCCCACCGGAGTGGTACTTATTGATCTACTCACATTTGTATGTTTTCGAACTGCTAGGTTGACAGGATCTGGGGCTGACAGCAGAAGCTCACGCCGCTCCCCGGATTTGAACCTGCAACCTTTCAGTCAACAAGTTTAGCAGCTCAGAAGTTTAACCTACTGTGCCATAATTGTGTAGTGTGAAAGGGTCCTGGGCCATCTTCATTCCTCCTTTCTTCTCAGGCCACGTCCACACAGCTGAATAAAATCTGACATTGTTTAGTTTTAACTGGAATATATGGCAGTGTGGATTCAGATAACCCAGTTCAAAGCAGATATTGCAGAATTTTCTGCCTTGACATTCAGGGCTATAATGACTGTGTGGAAGGGCCCTCATATGTACATCTGTGATTGCCTTGACTGGAAGAGATTGGGAAGTAGGAAGAACCAAGGTATGCAACATAGATGCTAAAGCATCTTTCCAATGGATACAGAAGCACTTTTATTATTTATTTATTTATTTATTTATTTATTTATTTATTTATTTACTGTATTTATATACCACCTTTTTCAGCCCGAAGGCAACTCAAGGCGTGGTTTTTATGGTTAGTACTTATGCATGAATACTCTCTTCCTATCTGTTCATATCATATCCCACAAACTTTCAACCCAAACCAGGGCACAGAGAAGATCAGAAATATAGACCTGCAAACAATGGCTCACTTAAGATAAAGCGATTATGCAGAGTGAAAATGGCAGTGCCCCATGTTTAATCTTTTTCCACTTCAGTTTTTTTTTTTTTCATGTCAGGGGTAACTTGAGAAACTGCAAGTCACTTCTAGTGTGAGAGAATTGGCCGTCTGCATGGACGTTGCCCAGGGGACACCTGGATCTTTTGATGTTTTACCATCCTTGTGGGAGGCTTCTCTCATGTCCCCGCATGGGAAGCTGGAGTTGACAGAGGGAGCTCACCCGCACTCTCTTCAGATTCGAACCTGCAACCTTCAGTCTTGCCGGCATAAGGATTTAACCCATTGCACCACACTCCTTCAGAGTGTTGCATCTGAAACATAGTGTTCCTATCTATCCCAGTAAGAGGAATCCATTGACTGTTGAGAAATGACATCTGAAAGTGAGAAACACCTACTGAAGACACTGAACTAATGTGGAGGAACAGGGAACACAGTTTTCTGATCCTTTGCCTAGCACAATGGTTCTCAGAGCTGCTGACAGATCTATAGATCCATCTTTGTCCATCCCCTCAACAACAACCACCACAACAATAAAAACAATAGAGAGACATTAACGAAGAAGCACATTGGGAAGATGTCACTTGCCTCTCACAGAAATGTAAGGTTGTGTATGACCACTTGAAGTCACATAACTGTACTTCAGTCCCCAATTGCCTTCAATTCTCAAGAAGTAGTGTCCCTCATCTTCGGCTTTGGCATTCATGATGATAAGAGAGCAGTCACCTTGGTTTGGATCTCCTATGAAGTAGAAACGGTTCTGAGCAGATTCCTCAACCACGCTTCTACTATTAGTGGTGGCCACGAGTAAACCAGGAACGCAATTGCTGTAACAGGAACTTTTTACTGCTTGAGATTTAAACCAGTGGGCAGAAATCTTCTCTGTCCTGGTACTATAATATGTGAATTGGCAAGGGATGTGAACACAACCGTTCTGCTGTACAGGGACATTTTGAGACACTTCCAGTGTGAAGCTCGGTCCCCGTTGGCTCAGCATACCTGCCAAAGGGAGAGAGAAACAAAGGTGATAATATCAGGTTTGATAACATACTATGCAGTTTCACAAGTTGCTTCTGACACAATAAAAAAAATTAGGTTTAATGTATTTTAATATTTTGAAGAGTTTATTTTCAACTCCAAAACTTTTCAGATTCTAATTTTTCAACCTTTTGTGGGTAAGAGATTCACTGGGAAGAAAGGATCAGCTTTTTGTTCTGAAAACTTTTAGAGCCTAAACATTTTTGATTATGAGCTATTCAAAATGGTTCTGGCCCAGCTGATCTATCCAAACATATATCTCTCTATGAACCACCGCAGAGTTTAAGATCATCTGGGAAAGCCCTGTTCTCAGTCCCGCCTCCCTCGTAGGCACGATTGGCAAAAACGGGATACAGGGCCTTCTCAGTGGTGGCCCCTCCCCAATGATGTTAGTTCAGCCCCCTCCCTTCTGACCCCGCAAGAGAGTTTTTTTTTGTCATGTCAGGAGCGACTTGAGAAACTGCAAGTCATTTCTGGTGTGAGAGAATTGGCTGTCTGCAAGGACGTTGCCCAGGGGATACCCGGATGATTTGATGTTTTTATCATCCTTGTGGGAGGCTTCTCTCATGTCCCCGCATGAGGATCTGGAGCTGATAGAGGGAGCTCATCCGGATTCGAACCTGCGACCTGTCGGTCTTCAGTCCTGCTGGCACAGGGGTTTAACCCACTGCACCACCGGGGGATCCTCCGCAAAAGAGTGAAAGCGTGGCTTTGTAACCAAGACTTTAGAGAACTTGTGCAATAGATAGACTTGGAACAATGTGCAATGACTATTGGAATGGCCTGGATTACATGTTTAACTCTGAATGTATTGTTTTTAATTGTTTTAATATATGAGAGGAAGTCACAGGGAGGAGGGAGCAAGCTTATTTTCCGCTGCCCTGGTGATGTCAGGGCTCCCACCTGAGGTAGGGGGAGTTAAAAGACCTCTGACAATCCGAAACAGCTCCGCCGGACGGTGAACTTCCGGAATAGAAGCCGCAGATCCTCCCCCGGCTCGACAGCCCACTCCTCGCTGTCCTCCTTCTCCTCAGCTGTCCCCACTTCTGGCTCTGGGGCGAGTTTCAGCCGGGAATGGTGAACCCAGGCTCGGATACCCGCTACCTTGGCTGCAGTGTGGGTGGTGAGGAGGATTTGGTGAGGCCCAACCCACTTCTCCGACAGTGCCTCTGGCCGGTATGTTCGCACAAGGACCCAATCACCGATGGAAAAGTTGTGGACAGGAGCATCCAAAGGAACAGGAAGGTGGGAGAGCAGATACCTATTCAGAGAGGAAAGGACAGAAGTGAGAAGAGACAGCCTTTCCCTAATGCTCTCGGATCCCACCTCATGCAGGTGTTCAGCTTTCAGAGGAACCTGTGAGGAAGGGAAAGACCTACCATAGAGGATCTCAAAGGGGCTCAACTTCAAACCCCCCCCCCCCCAGGAGCGGCTCTGATTCGAGTAAGAGCAAGTGGGAGGGCATCTGGCCAGGGCAGGCTCGCCTGCTGACAAATCTTGGCTAGCTGCCTCTTGATGGTTTGGTTCTGCAAGGGCAGATGTCTTCACTGTATCGGATTGTGATCCCCAGGTTGTGCCAGTCAGCTTTCGTATGATGTTGTTTCTAGCACCCACTTTTTGCTTGATGTTCAGGCAGTGCTTCTTGTAGGTAAGAGAACGGTCCAGAGTGACTCCCAGGTATTTGGGTGTGTTGCAATGTTCCAGTGGGATTCCTTCCCAGGCGATCCTCAGAGCTCGGGATGCTTGTCTGTTCTTGAGATGAAAAGCACATATCTGTGTTTTAGATGGGTTGGGGATCAGCTGGTTTCCCCTGTAACAGGCAGTAAGAGCACCTAGAGCTTTGGAAAGCTTCTGTTCTACCATCTCAAAGCTCCCTGCTTGAGCAGTAATGGCACGATCATCAGCATAGATGAAACTTTCTGTCCCTTCTGGCAGTGGCTTATCCCCATGCTAAGTCTATGAGACGCAAAAAATTAAGAGTCCCTCCCTGCAAGCACTATCTCAAGCAAATATTGACAATTTATCCACACGGTCATTACTTGCAGCAATAGCCGATGTAGCGAGGCAACCAAGTTGGGGGTGTTGAATGTTCTCACTAAAGAGGCCAGACTTGGTGGAGGTGGTTGACAGGGGCGGAGCTGCAGGCTATTGAAGGCTGCTCTGCCCCTGCTGTGCTCTTTGCTTCAGCATGACCTAAAAGGCAGATTTCAACTCCCCCCCCCAAATTTTCAAAACTCCCCCCCCCCCCAAATTTTAACCCCCCCTCCGACATTTTCAACCCTCCCCAAAAATTTTTTCTGGCTACGGCCCTGCTACCCAGGGTGGGTTAACACCCAAAATGCTTATCTGTAACAATAATGTGTGTGTTTACGTAGTTTGTAGAGGGTTAGCAGTAAGGGACACTGTGGCAAAATATGAGGAGAACATGTTTTTGAATGGTTGATCCGATAAGAGAGGTGTGTGCCCATGACACAGCGAAAAGACATGTAATATAAGGTGACTGAAATATCCAAATGTCAGAGACAGCCTTTTTGAAGACACTGGTCTGTCTTGGCTGTCTCTCCCTGTGTGGCCACACTTGAAATAAAGAGATTTTTGCTTTACCTCTGGAGACTAAACTCTCTTCATTTTGCTTCCCTCTGTGACGGACTCAGCAAGGACCCCAAGCAGGGGGTCCCCTACATTTCTAGAGGTTCCGCCGAGATATAGCAGAGGTGCCAGTTTGATGAGATTCTAGAGGTTGTTGGCAACCCATTCCTGAAGGCGAAGGCTGCCCAATTGGGATGTATCAACAGAGGTCGAGAAGGGATCCCAAAACAACAGACCGATCCTTTTGTTCATCTTTGTTGGGTGCCCTCGTCAGCAGGAACGCTCCACTTGAGAGGAAAGTTGGAAATCCCGTCCCCAGGAACGTCAGGGAACGCAAGTCATCATGACCAGGCGAGTAGAGTTTTTCTTGGGGAAAGGGAAAGTCTAGACTAGTAAACAGGCGCCAGAAGGGTGGAAGGTTGGAAAGTATTGTCTGTTTGGGAGTGTGATACAACTGAATAGGCACCACCCTTAGGAAAATGGGGCAAAAAGGGAGTAAGAAATGCTCAAGCCCACTGGAATGTATGGTTAAGAATTTCTCTAAGTTTAGGCGACAGATGCCAGGATGTAACAATGCCCAGAAATTGCAATTTCTGTGTCAGGTGGAATGGCCGAAATTTAATTTAAATCCCAGATGGCCAGAAACCGGAACTTATGATTTGAAAATAGTAAGGCAATGCCTTCGTTACATAGCTGCCAACCATCTAGATTAGCTTTGCTATATAAATGCATGGAGTGTTGTGTTGCAAACCCAACCTCCTTGGCTTTTAAAATGTTGCAAAGAAACTCCCTCTTGCATGCCCTTACTTGCCAATCCAACAGCACCATTTAATGGTGAAAGTAAGAAGGTCATATACCTTGATTCTGCAGAAGGACAATTAGAGCTGGAATCCCAGCCCCCACCATATGTACCTTTATACTCAAGATCAAGAGGAGACTACCCACCAAGGGTAGATGTAGATCCATTGCCAGCTTCACCTGCCTCTGGGTCATCTACTTCAGGAGCGTCTTCCACTTCAGGAAGATCCTCAGATAGTGGAAGCTCATTTCTACAAAATACTATGATAGATGTCACTCAAGAAGAATCAGGACTGGATTTAACCCAGAGAGATGAGCAAAGGGAGGAAAGAAGGAATCCTAGACTCCCAGATGATTCTACCCCAGTAACCACCCGTGCACAAGCTGCTACTGCCCATCTGTGTCCACTCAGGCAAACAATACAGTATGCTCCTAGGAGACCTAATCGAAACAACCTAGATGCAGATGTGATTGTTACTCGTACAGCATATCAGCATGTCCCTTTTACTAGCTCTGATCTTTTAAACTGGAAGCAGCATGTGGGACCATATAGTGAGAAAACCTCAGGTGCCTTTCTTGAAAGACTGATTGAAGCCTATCGTAAATGGAGTCCCTATGCTATATGGAAGAGGAGAATGAAAAGAGTCAAGGAAACTTAGCTCTCAAACAGTCTTTTATTGCACAAGTAGCACCTGATATTCATAGGAAAATCCGGAGGTCCCCTGGTTTTGCTGAATTATCCCTGAATAGGCTAAATGGAGATAGCCACCCAGGCCTATGTGAATAGAGAAGAGCAAGAAGAGAGAAAAGATGAAGAGAAGTAGAAGAAGAAAGTTTTATAATGGCAGCGAGAATGTATGTAAGGTTTTAACCGAAGGAAAGGCAGGAAAGGCAGGATGAATTGGATACAGAAAAGGACCATATGTGATTTTGGATTTTATTTAGTCTCACTCTTATTGATAACAGATTAATGATAGTTTTCATAAAGTGTTTGCAGTTTTGAGCAGAAGACCCTCATTCTTATTGATTACAGGCTAATGACAAACAGAAGTGGATTCATCCAAACCAGGAAAAACTTAGAAAGCTGTGCAAGTTAATTAACAGTTTTATTTGGTTTCTAAACAGGAATGCAAGTGGCCACCAACTAAAAGGATGCAAAGCTTATGAAAAAATTGCAATTGGACTATTAATTGGAACAGTAAATATATATATTGTTTGTGTTTTATAGTTTTTAAGGAGTGCACTAGTAGTACTAGTATTAGTACTAGTAGTAGTAATGATAATAATAATAATAATAATGGTGACTCATATTATTATCTGGTGCCAGAACCTATTGGCAGTTGTTTTTCCAGAGGCCAGAGCTACTCAGCATCAGACCTTTTGAAAAACAAAGCAAATGAGATATCAAAGTGCAGAATTTGCTAAGATTGGTTTACATGACTGGTAAAGAACAATTGCTCTAACACAAATGAAAGCAATATATGGTATAAAGTATAAGATTTATTGTATAAAGGGTATAGAAAAAAAATAAGGATGAAATGATGTTTTGAATCAGATCAACCAAGTGATAGAAG